GCAGCAGGATGTGCCCGGTGCCTTCCTGCTGCGCCCCGAGCCCGGGCTGCCCAAGCGCTGGTGCCTGTGGGTGCGGGCGCCCTGCGGCGTCGTGTCCTACGGCCTGCTCAGGACACACCAGGGCAGGTTCTGCGTGGAGGTGAGGCTGGGGTGTGAGTGCATGTGCTCCATCTGTGCATCCCTGCGCTGCTGTGTTGTGCCTTGCTGCATGGGTGCGCTGATGAAGTGCATTTGGTGTGTCCACGCATGGCTGCACTGGTGTGTACACAAATTTACTCTGTGTGTGTTTGGACCAGCCATGCATGGGTGCTCTGTAAGTGCATTTGTACCTTGATGCACCGGCGCATTGGGGCATCAGGACAGGGAGGCACTGCTGTGTGCATGCACTTAATGCGCCGTGTAAGTGCACTTTGGTGTGCTTGTGCATGGCTGCAGGGATGCACCAGGGTGGGCTCAGGCGCAGGTGGGTGCACACAGGGGTGTGCGTGCATGGGCACATTGACCCATGGGTGCCTTGGGGCACAGCTGCATCTGAGCATGGCATACAGGTACTGCTGGATGTGGGTGCACTGGGGCATCCACCCTTCAGCGTGTAACACACGTGAGTTTTAGGTGCAGTAATGCATCACAGGTATGTGATACACAAGTGCACTCGTGTGCATTTGATCCACCAGGCAGGTCAGGGTGCCTTTGATCTGTGGGTGTATCTGGCACGGGCACTGTCCCGCTCAGGGGTGCGCTGCATGCACGGCTGCATTGGACTCACGCCTTCACCTGTGCCGTGCTGCGTGGGTGGCTTGGCTCCGTGGGTACCTGGTGCAGATCCCAGGGCTGTGTGAGGTGTGTGGGTGTGCTGGCACACGGGCACGCAGGGATTTGCTGCATGCACTCAGTTCTGGGGTGCAGGGGTGTGTGGGCACAGCCTGCATGGGAGGCTCACCTCTCCCTTCTCTCCCGACGGCAGCACTCCAACGCCGAGTTCGCCAGCGTGGCCGCCCTCCTGGCCCACTACTCCGGGCCACCGGGGGGCTGCTTCTGCCGCCT